TATATTATAATTTTTATAATTTTTTATTTTTACTATTTATTAATTCTTTTCTTTTTAATGTTTTATAACATTATTGAAATCTTGTAATTTTAATTTTTATAATTTTAAAGTCCTTTAAAATCCTAATCCAATACACCCCCCTTAGATATATGCATGTGCGTGTATGCTTTTAATCAAGGTAACCAAGATTATTTAGATTAAGACAATTATTTTATTTTAAATTATTTAAATAGGTTAAATAAAACACACTAATTAAGTTTTAACTAGGGTGTAGACACGCGCGGTGCACGGGAACATTTTAATGTCCATTTTAGTTTTGTAATATATATTATTTCCTTTAAAATTATAAACAGAAAAATGTTTTAAAATAAAATCAATGCGTTAATAAAGGACAAAAAAGCAATAAAAAAGGATATTCATACTTTTAATTAATGAGCGGAAGTCAAATTAACAAATTTAAGTTAAATTATTATGATTTTATAATTCTTAAAAATAATAGATGACAAAATTAACTCTTGAAATAAAAATTGAAATTGTAGATAATTATTTTAACTTTCTAAAAAATTTTTTAATCAACTTGATAACATAATAACATGTATATAGTTCTAGATATCACATTTGGATCACACGAGATCATAAAAGATTAAATTATGAAAATTAATAAAGTTTGTGAGTAGTGTGGTAAATGTCTTTATCCTTTAAGTGTTTAATTGCTAACAACTTGAGATGTTTTGATGATATGGATGTCTAAGGAATTAATGAGTGATTCCAATAATATTGTGAGACTAGTTAAGTTATTAATTTAAAATGCTTAATTTGATATTCAGATCCTAGTGACTATGTTTGAGATATTAATATATGATTAGATGATTTTATAATAACTTTATTTGAAGTGTTATTAGATGATGTATAGATATTGTTGTGTTTGAACTACAAATATGTTATACTTGTGTTCTACAACGTTGTATGTTGTGTGTGGGTCATGTGATGATCATGTAACGTGAAGTCTAAGTTAAGGGTTAGTAGGGATAAAGTTTGGGCATGTTGGCCTAACAATGATATGAGTAACATGTATATTTTGTTCATGTGATATTTTGATAACATGATAATGGCATCGAGTTTTGTATGACATGTATTATGTGCATAAAAATGTTTTTATGATGGGTATAATACAAAATATGTTGTCAGGGAAGGTCTCCATTGTGTAAAAGCTTGGAGATTTATGATCTTGGACATAATCAGGTTTGAGAGCCTTAGTTCCACTCGTTTGTGTGGGTGGGGTGTAACTTGAGTGACACCGCTATCTTGATGTATTTTAATGTATCTCCTCCTAGTGTAAACTTCTATGATGACTTGACCCAACATGTTCTCCTAGTGTAAACATTCTATGATGTTGGCCTAACAATGATATGATTAACATGTATATTTTGTTCATGTGATATTTTGATAACATGATAATGGCATCGAGTTTTGTATGACATGTATTATGTGCATAAAAATGTTTTTATGATGGGTATAATACAAAATATGTTGTCAGGGAAGGTCTCCATTGTGTAAAAGCTTGGAGATTTATGATCTTGGACATAATCAGGTTTGAGAGCCTTAGTTCCACTCGTTTGTGTGGGTGGGGTGTAACTTGAGTGACACCGCTATCTTGATGTATTTTAATGTATCTCCTCCTAGTGCAAACTTCTATGATGACTTGACCCAACATGTTCTCCTAGGCTACTTTGTGTTCCTTTTGGGTAATTGTACAAGGTTAAAATATTTTACTAGCAAGACATGAATATCGTACAATGAGTCCTTATTCATTGTATTTGGTGCATTTATGAACATTTTATGTGTTGAAATATTTTTTAATTTTATGACTAAGTATATTGTGTTTATATCTGAATTGATATATTATGTCTTACTTGTGTTTGATTATCTGACTATATCTTATTCTAATAGTCAAATTGAGATGTTTCTCACTTTCTTATTTAATTTGTTGGTCCTCTTATGTATATTTATAGGTGAGAATCATCTTGAGAATGATGTTAGAGTCTCATAGACGAGACTTAGGCCTTATTTTTTTGTGTTGTGTCAAACTTTGATAAAATGTGACACCGGAGTTTTAGTTAGGATTTCAAGTTTTGTTATTTTTCTTCATGTGTTAAGACTCATGTTAAACATTCATTTTAGATAAACAAAATGTTAGTCTGAAGAACTATTATGCATTTTATACTTTTAGTATCATCTTTGTTTATGTTTTATACTATCATATTTGACATTGGATCATATTATATCTTTACAAAGATGTTCATGTTTGTTAATATTGAAACATAACTCTTGAAGTGACATTGGGATGAATAACCTTAATATAGTAAAAGTGTTAATGGAGTTAGTTTCCAGCAAAGACATTAAATACTTCTTCCAATATCATGGTACCAAACAAAAAATAAAACTTTTGAAGAGTCTTAGGTTATCCTTTGACCTAACACGGACTTTAATTTGTTGTATGTCACATTAATTGCTCAATGAAAATTGTTGCGTGATGAAGCTCTTGATCGACACATAATTGTTGAGTAAGTTTTAGACACTAATATGATCAAGTTTTAGTGAGTTAAAGCCCGTTATGCAAATCCTAATTTCTAAATTATTTGCATGAATCTTTAGTTAGTTAAAGTTAATTTTTTTAAAACATTATTATTACACTTGTATAATCACTATCAAATCATTCTATTATTTAATTGATATAAATATGCCTTTCTTTGAATTGACTAAAGCAAAAGCACTGATTAAAGTGCAAAATCTAACCCCATCAAAAAAATATTCATATTTCAGCGTGAATTACCTGAATTGTATATAACCTCATATGTATCTAGATAACACAGAGTAGATTTTGATTTTTTCCTTAATTCGTACACCTTATAATTAAATTATATCATACAAAACATTCACCCGCATAGAAAGTATCAAGTTTGGATACACTCCCATTATTTTGGCATACACTTGTGTACATATGGAGAGCATTTAATTTTGAAAATTAAACTGGCCAGAATCATTGGATATTTAGAGAATCAATTGGATCAAAGTGGCTAGAAAGAATTCACCCATGTAAAAGGCAAGGTATACTCACAAAGTTGAAGGAGATAAAATTAAGATAATTAAATGCTCGAAGTGTTGCACACTGCCAATATTCCATTTTGAAATGTATAGTATAGATGAATTGCATGTTTATAGAATATATGTCGATCAAATAAAAGGAGGAAGAACCTAGACTAAAATGACCAACCTTGAACAACGTTATTGTATGCTTATTCAAAAACATTGTACATCAAATAAGTCATGATTTTCTTTTTTAATATATAGAACGAGTTTTGATCCTTAAACAGGCATTTTCCTCAAAAGTTGTCCTTGCATGAAGCTGGAAAGAAAAAAAAAAGAGAAAGAAACATATATAAAAGCAATATATATATAGTAAAAACAAATTGCTTGTATATTTTACACAAGCCAATAATAACTATTTTCATTTAAAATAAAGAATACATATGTTGATAATGTAAACAAAATTATATTATGTAATCTTAAATTATATATATATAATATATATATATACATTATTAAACTTAATTTAATATATTTTTTAAAAAGAAATTATTAAAAATATTTTTATATCACAATATAAATTATTTATTATAAATTTAAAATATAAGTTATATGTTTATTTTACAACCACTGTCTCAATATAATTTAATTACCGGTTTAAATGTAAATAAAATTTTGAATTGTTAGAGAAAATGATATCTACAACCGTAGAAGAGTAAAGAAATGGACCTACCTCTTCATGTAATAATAACAAAAGTCAGCCAAGATGAAGGATTGAACCATTTCAGCAATGAAAGATGCCAAGAACCAGAAATAGTTACCCCCACCCCAATAGAATCGTCCCCCTCCAGTCTCATACATCTGCAAATTATTAAAAACCACTATACATCATTCAATCTGTATTTTATAATTCCTCCAATTGCAATCAACTCATTTATTCTTCCTCATTCTTATATAATGTTTTTTTTTAAGAATATCTCTTATATACAGAATAAAATTTATGAAATCATTCATGTATAAAAATGTCTAACTTTTACTCAAAAACACCACCCTTTTTAGAGTAGATTTAGATAATTCTAATATCAATCTTAAGATGAGTTAAAACTTAAAAAGACGATTATGGGTCCAATTCAATCTTTAAAATTGTTCTGTAAAATAAAGGTTGTCTTATATTTATAAACTTTTTGTTTGCTGTATCAGTAATCGACCTTAGATTTGAATTTTTTCTAAAATATTCATTCATATATAGTACTATTAATGTTAATACGTGGGTGGATAAATAGTAATATACCTATTTTAATAATTTGGAAAGGTAGATTTTGAAATATTTTTCACAATAATCTACGAAACCAAATGAAGTAAAAATTGATCTCACCTGAATTATCCAATAAGCCAGTCCCATGAATCTTGAAATACCGAGGGCGAATACATAATACCCTGTAAATGTTTCAATCATCTGGAAAAATACCAAGAATTACAACATATACTAAAAGAAAAAGAAAAAAAAAAAAAGTACTAGAACAAAGCCCAGAGAACCAACCTTTGCGTTCTGCATAAAACGAAGTTGGGGTAGAATAGAAACAGCTTCCAAATACAAGCTGAATGCCCAAATAATTCGAAGAAATAAACTCCAAGAAAATATAAAAGGGTGGATTAGTATCGCAAGGATTGCAACAGGAACCACCTGCCAAAACAATTGGTAGATGTTATTGCTACGTTTATTTTTGTCTATATTCACATCTATTGTCAAATCAAAAGAATTATGCCACCATAAATTATCTTGGGTATGTTTGGAGAATGAAGCACTTTTAGGAGAACAGGGGAGTGTTGTTCATGAAATTTAAAAGAGAAAAAAATAAAAATTATATAAACTCATCTAATTTAGTTCTTGAATAAACAAAAACAGAACAACTGTAATTTGTATCTAATAAGTTAATAAAAAAAGTCTCATGATGATTTAATCATTATGAAACTTATTGTGCAAGCAATATTCTCTCTCTACTCAATTTCATGGTTGAATATGTGTTTCTAATATGGTGTTTGTTTTATTCCATGCATGCTTTAAGTGATTTTCTAATGGTTGATTTACTAGTTTAGTTGTCATAAGATGACTCATAGCAGCATAAGTTTGTGTTTCCAAAGTCATTCTGCAAAAAGGGTTTTAAAGGGTAAGCTGATTCACCCCTCCAAGAGTCTTCTTTTGACAACATTTTGAAGCTACATAAATAAGACTCTGAATTTGTAATTAATAAATGCAACATACTTATTAAACAACCAAAGGTTCAAATTATGCTCCAAATTAAGACAATTACCACAAAGTATAGTCGCAGGTTGTCAAGGTCCTTGATATAGGATGACTTTAACTTGAATCTCATCATCCATATAACCAATAATGTTGACATAAGAGATATAAGATCTAGCACGGTGTGAACGTTAGCCTCTATAAAGGTGCTACAACTTAATCTTGCTGCTAGGAATAAAGCTGTGAGCTCTTGGGTTATAAGCGATAAACCTGAAAATGAAACCAGAAACTTGTTGTTTACCCTTTTTACCAGATTTTATATTAATTCAAATAACTGAAACGAAACAGAGACCAAAGCATTTTATTTTACTTCCATCAAGAACAGATTATGCTAACAAAAACAAAACCAGGGATTTTTATTTTTCTCCTCTTTCAGCCAAACTTTCTAAGGTTCTTCTTTCATCCTCATCCAAAAGTCTCGCTCATCCCTGCTCTAAACAACCTTCAGTTCCTCTTTCCACGATGAAAAACTACAATCAACTATGATGACCTCAAAATCAAATCAATCATTGATAGAAAGAAAAAAAAAATTATTCCATCACTGCTCTTAAAATTCCACATTGAAGAGTTACCGAAAGTTGTTGAGAAGATAAAGATAAATATTAATTTTTATTGAAGTCTTAAAAGTTTAATGGGGTTGAAATGATTTACGTTCTTTATATTCTTTTATGCGAATTTGTATCTGAAGTAAATGATATTTAATTTCATTGAAAATCTTTAAAGAAGTTGATGATTAGCTTTGATCTTATCTTAATCTAAATTTCTAATTACCAAAAATAAAAATAAAAATTGGTTTAATGGGATACTCCTTTTGAACTTATAAGTAAAAATAACTAATTTTACACCAATTAAAAAAGTTTATTCAACACACTTAATTTTCATGATTTCACATGAAATACACAGTATTTCCTAAAATATTCTTAAATGTATTTATGGCGGATAGTATTCTCATTTATTATATTAAAAATACTAAATAAAGTTAATTTGATTAAAATTTATTTCTATTTTATCCCAAAAATTTTAAGCATTTTTTTTCTTATATATAGATCTAGAGGGAGTATAATTTTAAAAAATGTAATAGTTATTAGACCTATATATGATAAAAAAAATGCTTAATTTTTTTGGACTGAAATATAAGCAAATTTCAATAAATCAATCTTTCTTAATATTTTTAATCCAAAAATGCTCTTATGATAATAAATGAGAGCATTATCTATCATGAATGAGATTAAAGATTTTTTAGGTAATGTAATTTATATTTCATGTGAAATTATAAAAATTAAATGCATTTAATAAATTTTCTTAATATATGTGAAATTATTTATTTTTTCTTATATATAGGTTCAAAGATAATACTAAACATGAGCTTACAAGCATCATCATCTTAATATAAGAAAAATTAAATAATATTTAAATTAAATATAATAATAACTTAATACTATAAGTCTTACAAATATAATCTCTAAACCATTTAATTTTCTCTGATGCCATCCGAACAGTTATCCCCTAGACATCATGGTCAAGCAAAAAAAAAAAAAAACTTCCATGAAAGAGGTTAATTTGTTTCCTACTGGGTTCAACAAATTGAAGACCAGTAATTTCATCTTATGAGGAAAGAAGCTAGAGAATGAGAGAGAAAAAAAAAAAAAAAAAAAAAAAAAAAAAAAAAGAGGGAGGAGGATAGTAGGGGTGGCCACCATAATTAGACATGGCCCATATTATGTTAGGTACATGAATGTTGTCTCTGATTTTTCAAAATGTTGCAAATTTCGTCCATCGAGAAAATTCTGACAACTTAAAGAAAACTATTTTAATTGTCATGATTAAAAAAACTCACAAAATTATCTTAATTGTGGAAATTTTTTATACATGAAAGCAAAATTTGTGATATTTTATTTTATAAATCAGGGAACAAAATTCACAAAAGAAAATTCTTTGGAGTAAAAATATTTTGAAATTTTGAGGACAAAAATGCAATAAAACCTAAACTACAATACTACGTACCTTTCTGTTGGGCCTTAAAATTTAAGTCGATCAAATTATGAAGCTGGAACAGAGTTAGGTATTTAATTAGGTTTAACTCAATGAAAGCTAACCTTTGACTTTGAGAATCACAAATCACAATTCCTTTGCTTAGTTTATATGTGATACTCTTGCTAATGAAATAGCTAATTCCGTTTAGGGTTGCACTAGTCGGGTTTGGGGGAAAATTAAACTCCAAGAAAATTAGAAAACTGCAAGTTGGGTTGGCAAATCAAATTAGAAAACCCAAAGTTAAACACAGACAAATCCTGAAAACCAATTTTATTTCAAAATAAGTTGTGTTAGTTTTGATGTTCGATTTATTAATGATTCTATTGTCATATTTATATTTCCTTTTCAATGCTGACATCTGTATAAATTATTAAATATCTTTTTTTTACTCTAAACATTTTACATAGAACAAATTTATTATATATATATTAGTACGTGAGTAAATGATAGTGTCATTCTATATACTAATTAGTCAATAAACATCTAATAAAAAAATATCGGTAAAGAAACAATTTTGTCATGAGTATTATGGAAAGGATAAAATTAAGAACTATATATCACAACTTAAACGATACTCTATTATAAAAAAAAATCAAAAATAAATAAATTTTAACTACTTTTTCTCGTTTAATAATATTTTTTTAATGTATAACTTTTTCGGTTATATTACTTTTATGGCATTTATAATAAATAAATAATTTAACAAGAATATTACAGGATATTATGTATTTATTTATTTACGATAGGGAACAGAGGAAGTAGGTGAAGAAATTTTAGCAGATTGGGATTCTGTATACACACCTTTAAATATGTATAATTTATAACGTATTCCTCTGAAAAATTAATTTAATTTACCCGTTTTCCGTTTTTTTTTTATAAATAAAATAGAATTACTTTTGATAAAAGACATTTTAAAATTATTAAACATAATAAAAATATGTATTTAATATCTAAATTAATTTGGGTCAAAATTTAACGTTAAATAAAAAAACGAGATCCGGAATAAAACAAATACATGATTATACACCCTTAAAAGAAAAATCAAAACTGAATTCAGATGTAAGTCAAACAAATGAAATCAAGCAACTTTGGTGAGTAAGGACTCTCATGGAGTGAAGGGAAGAAAGTTAATTGTATTAACCTTACCGTGAAGGAAATTATGCCTTAATTAAGTTAGACGAGGGAAATGAATGATACACTAATTATTGATTAAGGAAGAGTGTTCTTGATATATCTGAAGATGAAATCAAAATGAATTTATGAATAGAGTGATGAAAGAGGAATAGGAAATGTACCAGAGCATGTCTTAAGGGCGAAAAGCTTGTATATGAGGGCAATTATTCCAGCAGCATGGATTGCTTCAGAGACTATGAAGAAACAATTATGATTCATGATGGTTAACTTTAAGGCCACCAAAGCACAAACACCAAGCAATGCCCCCAAAAAGATCTTCACTTTTATTGGCAGCTTCGTCAACCTTTCCAAGAAAACATTCACTGGGGAATTGCCCCTCTTTGCACCCATTTCTGTATGCAAAAGCCTCACAAACCAAAAGATGGCTATGCTCTAATAATGTGTTTTGTGGACACAATTTGTGTTAGAGGGGTTTAGTTTAGATCATAGAGAATAGAGCCGTTTTGAGGAGACACCAAGAGAGCATGCACTGGATCGTGTGCTATTATGTGGCAATAAATTTCTTGTACTTAATTGGGACCATTGCTAGGCAGTTAAAGAAAAATCCAAAAAGTCAAAAGGGATGATAATAGGTGATATTTAATTAGGAAAAAAAATATATTGTTTTTCATTTGCAGAACAAAGCAAATTAAAGATCCTTATATTAGAATTTTTAAATATAGATAAAATGTCCAAGGATTAAATATGATTTTATTTCCTTATAAATAATCAAGTTTTGATTTAGTTATTGTAAAAAATTTATTTATTTTTATCTTCTAAAAATTGGAATTCTTGTATTTAATCATTATCAATATATGATCGCTATTAACTATTTAGAGCAATTTCAATGGGAGTTGTTTGTCCCATGAAGCAATTCAAGCCCCGGTTTCTTGCCATTAGAAGACTCTAACGTGGCAACATGAGTTGCTTGAAGAAAAGAGAGAGTTGCTTCCTCAAACAATCGTTCCTTACCAGATTTTAAGCATATCTTATTGAACATATTTGGGAACGTTTCGGAAATAATAATGATGAAAATTAATTTTGTATAATATTTATGTATTTATTATTATTTTATTTTATTTTTAATATTTACTTATTATGTATTTTTTCTCGTAATTTATTTTATTTCATTGTAGTGCAATTATCCTTTTTAATAAAAATTTAAATTTGGTTCATAAATGATTAAAAAAAAATTCTAAAAGTTGAATTTCTTAAAGTTTCTTACCATTGAAGTAAATTTGTGTTTGAGTTGCTTAATGCTGACATGGCACACTAAAGACCACTTTTTTCATTTTTTTAATGCATGAAGCAACTCAAATGAGTTGCTTCCATTGGAGATGCCCTATGTTTATTAAAATGTTAAGGAACCTTATATATTATATTTGCATGAGGCATTTCTTAAGTTTTTTTTATATATATTTCTATAATAAATATTGTTTATCTTTTTGAAATAATTATTAGGGATCACAAATAAAACTTTAGATTTTAGAGGAGAAAAAATTCATAAGATTTTATAGGTAGTGTTGATAGTGGTAGTTAGAGGTGTCAAAATAAGCCAAATTCAATGGTCAACTCCCGAGACAGATAGGTTAGAATCTAAAAATTTATGTCGATTTTAGCTAAATTTCAACTCAATTTATTTAACTCATGAGTCAAACAAGTTCATGCCTAAGTGAGCTGAGTTGATCCGTTTAATCCACTATTAAAAAAAATTATATATGTTTATGTTTTATGTAGTTATTATTTAAAATTTTGATTGATATTTTCTTATGTAAAAAATATAAACTTGATTTATTAATATAAAAATTATAACTTTTTATTTTATTTATTAAAAATAGGAACATGTAATTAAATTTATTTTACTTTATTTTTTTATTTCTAAAAAAATTGTTGAGCCAACACACCTAAACCATCAACCCGTGATGGGTTGAATCAGGTTGAAATTTTTCTGTCTCACCAAAAAGTGAACCAATTGGATTGACTCATTTAGAACACTAATCCATGAACCAACTGTGTGAGTTAGATTGACTTACTTTGACACCCTTAATAGCAGTAACAATAATTATTACATTGACCATGATCATGATGATGGTGAAGACAACAATAGTTTTGGTTGTGATTATGGTGGTATAGTGGAGACAATGATATTAAGCGGGTGATTGAGTGAAAAATTTAAAAAATTAATCTGTTAAATAAGATATTACAATATATTTAATGAATATTTTAATTACAACCTTTCATTTTAATATGATAATTGAGATTGATAATTATCATGTAAAAATGTCATTTTTATCTCATATATATATATATATATATAATTAAATTTAATTACACTGCGTTGACGGTTGAAACCGTTTTTCTAATATTTATCATTTAACCTTAAGTTGACGAATTATTAAATATTACTAACTTTTGATTCAAAACATTATATTTATGTTGTTATTTATTATTCCCCTGTTACTTCTTTTTTCGTTTTTTTAGTAAATTTTATATTTATTTATTAGTCATTTTTAATGTTTAAGATAATATTAATTATTTTTTTTAATCAATTATATCTTTCTATTTTTCATAACTTGTGACCAATTTATGTGTGTTTATCATGGAACAAGAATGAAAGAGGATATAATAAAAAACATCAAAATTATAAAAAAGAAAAGGAGATATTAGTCGATTAAAATAAAGATCATAAAAAAGAAAAGGAGATATTAGTCGATTAAAATAAAGATCATTGCTATGAATGAAATTAGGCTCAAATTTCTTAAGCATTGTCTTGAAATTAAATTTTGTAGATAAAAAAATGTGATTAAGAAGAAGGATTTAACTAAAGATACTTAGTTAAGTTTCTTATCAAAGAATAATCATTTTCAAAGTTAATAAATACGATACACAAATTACATAATAAAAATATTTATATTCATTATATTAAAACTAAACATATAATAATTTGAATTTAATGAAGGTTAACTATATTTGACTAAATCTAATAAAATATGTAATTAATAATTGTAATGAAATTTATTTTCTTTGACTAAAATTAGTCTAATATATTAAGCTTAAAGAACCAACATATATTTGATTAAATAAGACTTATTAAAATTATGTAAAAGTCATACTTTTTTTTTTTTTTTTTTGTGAATTGAAGGGGGTAAAAAGCACCCACAAAAATCAATTATAAGCACAGAGGTACAATTATATCAACTCTACCAAAGACAAGTCAAAATCTATCAACCACTTGATTTCTTCAACGCAAAAATCAGCCGTGTGAATTAGCCCACAACTCAACCTGTAAAACAAAAGAAAAACCAATGTTGGCAACTGTGGTGCACTAGGGTGTTACCACATATATACACATGTCTTCACATTAATGGGATATTGTCCGTTTTGAGCCCAAGCTCTCATGGTTTTTGCTTTTGGACATCACCCAAAAAGCCTCTCTAAAGACAAGTCAAAATTTATCAGCCACTTGATTTCTTCAACGCAAAAATCAGCCGTGTGAATTAGCCCACAACTCAACTTGTAAAACAAAAGAAAAACCAATGTTGGCAACTATGGTGCACTGGGGTGTTATCACACATATACACATGTCTTCACATTAATGGGATATTGTCCATTTTGGGCCCAAGCTCTCATGGTTTTTGCTTTTGGACATCACCCAAAAGGCCTATCTACAATGGAGACAACTGTGTGTATATAAACTCATATTCATCCTATTGTTTGAATGATGTGATACTTTGTTTGCATCCCAACAGTCCTTCCCTCAAACAAAGGACTACGGTTTACCCTCATCAGCGAAAATTATGAGTATTATCTGATGGTGGCCCACAGAGCTCACTCACGCTCAAAGTGCTTGCACCACCGCTCCATCATGACCTCCCTCATGACAACAGGACACGCCTCCTAACCCTCCACCGTTTAGGAAGACTTTCGACAGAAGGGATCCCAAACTTAGATCCACATGCCAGCTATCATACTTGTCGAGTCGGCCACCTGATCAGACCATCAACATACCACTGATATAAAAAACTCCTCCTCACACAATAAGATCACCCACACGTCCAAGGATCTTAATCGGAACACACTCATATTTTATTTCTTGGCTCTCTATATATAGAATAGAATTATAATACAAAATTTGAATCATATAATTCTCGTAATAAAAATTAGGAAACAAATTCTTAAAAGATTTCAAAACAAATAAAAATTTGTAAATCTGAATAATATCCTAAAGATTACACATTTCTAAAATATCTCCTTAAATATTCACTCTCAATTTATTTGAAATTTGAATTATTTTTTCCACATCAACATAGGAGAAGATAATCGCTCCTACATGATTACGAAAAGTAACTCCTGTAACCGCCCTTGTTGCAGTAACAAAAGCATCACAATTAAGCTTAAATTGTTGTGGTGTCTAGAGCTGTCAAAATGGGTTCAGCCTAGTGAGCCAACCCGACCCACCACGGGTTCGAGCCGGTTGGGCCAAAAAAAATTTAAAAATTTCAGTACGTGCCAATTTTGAACCCGACTAACTAACAACCCGGCTCTGAGTTGAACCCGTGGTGAGCCGGGCTGACCCACTAACCCGTAAAAAACAAAAAAAACATGCTACCTGGGCCCAAATTACTGAAATTAGAGTTTGAAGATAATTTTTGTTGTATTTGAAATTTGAGATGATTTTGAATTATATTTGTCTACATGAGATTATTTAAATTTTATTTGATTGTATTTAGAATTATCATTTAATTATGATTTTGGACTTTAGTTGTATATTAAAAAAATTATATATTTTTTTAAATTAGGTGAGCCAACCCGTTTAACCCACCAACCCATGGTGGGCCTGGCTAGGTTCAATTTTTTTGAGCCCACTAATAAATAAGTCGAGTTGGATTGACCTACCAAATGCTCAACCTGTGGTGGGCCAGATCAGGCCGGCCTGAGTTGGATTCTCGTTCCATAAAACTTTCATTCTAGGAGAAGAAATACACCATTAGATGAGTTTAACATGATTATGAAGACATCCTATATCTAAGATGGTATTCCAAATAAAATTCCAACTAAGTTAATCGTATGCCTTTTCCAAATTAATTTTTATAGTCATCCAACCTGATGCCCCTTTTTAGTTCTTATACAGTGAAACACTTCGGGAACTAAAATTGTATTATATTTACTTTAGTGACTAGGAATGAAACTTGCTTAACAAAGATCAACTAATTTAGATATCAGCAGTCTGACAAATAAATTCAAAATACATTTTAGGAAATATGTATGATTAAAAACATGAATTGTAAAAAAAAAATTTTCAAAAATATATAAAATCAATTATTATGATTAAGAATATGATCTCTATTTTAAGACTTTTTGACTATTGTGCATCACTTTTAAAAGTAAATTATGTAAATAAAGTTATTTTAAAACTATTTAGACTTTTGAAATTATTTTTATAGGTGTCACTTAAGAATAAGGAACTGCACCAAAAATTTATTCACTTAGAAAAAATTATCATTCTGAA